TAGTGGATCATAGATAGATTGACACTGATTGATGATGGACTAGCTGGTAGTAGATCATTAATAGAATCTGCATTTGTTTTTGTTCATTCTGTTTTGTCTCTTTTGTAGGACATAGCGTCAACCGGTAGCGTACCGAGTTTGACGATGCGATCTATCCTTGAGAAGGATAAATTGACCGGGACAAACTTCTTAGACTGGTATTGTAACTTGAGAATAGTTCTCAAGCACGATAAGAAGTCATACGTTCTGGAAGGGGCTCTACCACCAGAGCCTGCGGCCAATGCCTCGAGAGCCGTCAAGGATGCTTGGTCTCCCAGCTAGTCCATCATCAATCAGTGTCAATCTATCTATGATCCACTACCAGCTAGTCCATCATCAAAACAATGACAACACCGATGTAAAGATAAGCTATATTCCCATAAAGAAAACTAACCCTACAATAATTTTCTATATGGGACTAAGATCCGTATTTCACACAAGAATAAATTGTTACACCTATCCTCATGCATATGCCGATAGGCAGTTCTGTCAACACCCACGTCCTCAACATGCGAACTCATGTTGAGGAACTTGAGCGTATGGGAGTGAACTTCGATGGTGACTTGGTTGCAGACTTGATCCTGATGTCATTACCCGAGGACTATAACCAGTTCGTAATGCAGTACCATATGCACGGGATGACCAAGAGCTTAGCCGAACTGCATGGGATACTGAAATCGGCCGAGCAGGATATCGTGGTGCCCAAGACTGTGCTTGCTGTTGAGAACAAATCCAGCAAGAAGCGGCGGGGTAAAGCCAAGAAGAAGGCGGCGAAAAAGGCAAAAGTTGCCTCTACGCCCAAGCCTAAGCCCGATAAGGGTGACTGTCATTACTGCGGAGTGTCTGGACACTGGAAGCGTAATTGTCACCTATACTTGGAGGATCTGAAGGATAAGAAGCTTGGTGAAGCTTCTGCCTCAGGTATTCATGTTATAGAAGCTAACATCTGTACTATATCTTCATAGGTATTAGATACCGGAAGTGCCTCACACATTTGTGGAAATGTGCAGGGACTAAGAAGAAGTAGGAGGCTAGCTAAGGGAGAAGCGGATCTACGCGTCGGAAATGGAGCAAGAGTTGCTGCATTGTGTGTTGGCGTTTACGATTTGCATCTTCCTTCTGGACTTGTTTTAGAACTTAGTAATTGTTACTATGTTCCTGCGATTAGCAGAAACATTATTTCTATTTCATGTCTAGATTTGGATGGTTTTCGATTTGTGATTGAGAACTCGAGTTTGATGATTTATCGAGACGATATTTACTATGGTAATGGTTATCTAGTTAATGGTTTATACGTCTTGAATGATCAGCCTTCAAACTCAACATCATCCATCTATAGCGTGAATACTAAACGGTTTAAGCCGAACGACTTAAACCCGACCTTCCTCTGGCATTGTCGTCTAGGCCATATAAACGAGAAACGCATACAGAAGCTTCATTCTGAAGGTCTTCTGGATTCATTTGACTTTGAGTCTCTTGAATCATGCGAGTCTTGTTTAATGAGCAAGATGACAAAGCATCCTTTCAAAGGGAAAGGACAGAGAGCGACAAAGTTATTGGATCTGATACATAATGATGTATGCGGACCAATGAGCTGTCCAGCTAGAGGAGGTTATCTGTACTTCGTGACGTTCACTGATGATTTCAGTCGATACACTTATGTCTATTTGATGAGACATAAGTCTGAAACACTTCAAATGTTCAAGGCTTTCAGAAACGAAGTACAGAACCAACTTGCCAAGACGATCAAGACACTTCGATCCGATCATGGTGGCGAGTATATGAGCCAAGAGTTCACTGACTATCTGGTTGATTGTGGTATTGTATCACAATTAACTCCTCCTAGAACGCC